TTGGTAAATTGTGATAATGGTTGTCTTGGCTGGATCAGTGGCTACTCCATCTCACGATAATATGACCTGAATAAGGTACCTTGTTTTCTCCAAACGTATATTTTAGGAGTTTGGGTTTGAGACCAGACGATCTTAATCTGTCGAACACTTGTCTAAGGTTGACCAAGTGCTCTGTAAAAGACTTTAAGAAAATTATTACATCGTTTAGATAAATCAGAGCAATTTTCCAGTGCAAACCTCTGAGAACTTCGAGTGTAGCACGTTGAAATGAACTTGGGGTTTCATGTGAACCAAAAGGGAGGGCAAATACTGTCCCTCCTGTGACAAGGGCATGTTTTGCACTTTGAATATTCTTCTATGGCTATTTGTCAGTACATGTAACCAGATGCCACTTCAGGTGTTGAAAAATAAAGGGGCTGGTTTGGACCAAGGTTGTTAATAGTATCTTCGGTATAGGATGTGGGAAATTATCACATTCAGGAATTCGGTTTATTGGTCTTAGGTCAATACGAAAACCGTTTGTTCCTTTCTTCTTCACAAACACAATACTACTTGACCAAGCTGATGTGCAGGCAGAAATGATGTTATCTTTCAGCATTTGCTGAACCTAAATATCGTTTGTAGATGTGGAGGATGTCTAGTCTGCATTGTGGAGAGCACAGCGAAAGATGGTTACCTATATTAATGGAGTGTTTATTATAGCGTAACACCCAAGAGAAGTACCAGAAGTTTGAAAAATGTCGGTATACTCCTGTAGTAGACTGGAGTTGACACTCTTGGGTTTCACTGAGGTTTTCGTTTGACATATTTACCTGGTCATATTTACCTGGTTCCTTGGCCGCTTTAGTGCCATTTCGTTGTGGGTCCTTGTTTTCCGAAGGCTTTACAATTTCAGCAGATCCTGAGAACGATGAACTTCATCGTTTCTCACAAGGCACGTATATTCAATCCTCATAGACTGTGCGTGCATTTAGTTTGTGCATTGGCGCATGCGCAATAGTAACATATACTCGTCGGCCTGAAAACTGATATTCTAGTAGACGACGGATATCGGTGAGGGATTTGTCCTGCCATTTCCCTTGAAGGCCTCGTGTGTGAATAAATTGCTAAGAATCTATCAAATGGTGATATTTAATAGCTTCTGATATGAAGATCTCCGGAAAGTAATCAAAGCAGTGGAAATGTCGATTTTCTACCAAAGGATAATTGTGAAAAATTATCGGTTTTTTTTTAGCTAACTTTGTGTCTAATTTTCACAATTTTGCTGGGTTTACCTTCAAATAACTTTGATGTCCAAACTTATATGATCAAAAAAATATTTACTTCTAGGTAGAAAATCTTTTCTTTTGAAATTCACTTCGTTTTTCATTGGGACCCATTTTCGTCATTTTCTGTGTTTTTCACCTATACTTAAATGCCCAATTTTCACACTTTTGTCGAATTCCCCTCAGAACATCGGTGATGCTGTGTACTGTCCGTCTGTCTGCTGCGTAGGGCAAAAATTCGGCAGAAAATGGATCTTTATTGTGTGTATGTTAGCCAAAGGGACTTTGAGTGTTTTTACTAATCGGTATGAAAATGAGGAGCAAACAACTTTTTCTGAGCTTGATGTTGATCGACTACTTTTCGGATCCACCTATCCGAGTCAGAGCGATTTTACTGGCTTCTGGCAGTGGTGGAATTTAGTAAGCACGCGCACAAACTAAATTAGGGACATGAACATACGTGAAGGATAAATGTGCCTAGTTTTGTCCGTGGGTAGACGTCAATGACTATTTCAAAGGGATTGAGAGGCATTACTGCAATTTTAGTTGACCATTGTGTTTTCTGATTAGATTGCGCGGGCAAGGTGAAATCCTACATAATCCTGTTGTCCTACGAGCCCCACAATGAAGTGTCCACTACTTAACTCTAGCTTCAAACATTGTTGGGGGAGTCTTTATCCTAAAAGTTGTACAAATTCGATGTTCGTCATTAAGCCTCAGCTTGTTTGAATCAAAATGCATAGGCTTACTAGCGTTTTGTTCCACAAAGAACCGAGCGCCTTAAATTAAGTCACGATGAAGATTAACAGTTACGCATACATACACAGAAGTCACAACCGCCTATAGTCAAAAGGAATCTCTGCAATTCCTAGAATGTTGCGGCAAGTAGCATTGGCAGTTATTACTGGGGAAACTTAACAATCTCGAATTTCAATGGAAGTGCACTCAGACGATTGTCGAAAACATTTCTCACTGAGATCGATATTTGCACCGTAACAGAGTCCAATACGCAAGATATAAGCCCTTGTAGTTTAGATCCTAATTGTACATCAGTACAACAGCCTTGCAATTTGTCACCTTTATACCATGACATTATATACCCCTTCACCTACATTTCCACCACCAGGTCTTTGGTTTGTATCACAAGTGGGCGGGGCTCTAAGATTTATCGATACTCTTATTTAGAGTTACGCACAAATTGTCTGTGACCTGGTTTATCACATTGTTAACGAACAAATCTACTGTGTTACTTTGGAAGTATCAGTTTGATGAATTGCCATTCCCATACTTTTGAATATGAGGTCCAGACAGGCCGTGCTGGGTTTTTTCTTCGTTCTTTCAGGATTCTTCGAATGTTGATGCACTATTTCGTAACTGCTGTCATAATTTGAGCAACGTCATTTAACTGCAGCATTGTGTCAGCCTGGTTAGATTGGGAATTAGGCTCAACGGGCGATTGCAAAACTTGTGTAGAATGCACCGCGGATAATGGCGGGGCTGGTGACTCTGACACAATTTGTGCAAGACTTGCATAACAATATGCGCGGTTCAAAGATTCGGGTTCTTTTGAAATAACATCTTTAACTCGTGGTTGTAAGCCCCTAATGAAATGAGTTAGTCTCTCTTGGTCCGATTTTTGAAATGTGACACTCATAAGATACATCTGAAAAATAATCGTCTAGCGATTCAGGTTCTTTGTGAACACGGGAGGTTAATTTGGTTTCGTTTACCCATTTCTGGTTTTTACCCTAGGGATTGTCAATCAAGGCAGCCTTCAGACTATTACACGAGCTTTTCTGGCTGCATTCAAGAAATTACTGCATTACCTTAAGTGTAAGACTCAGTGCCAGGTGTAGTTTATCACAGGCAAACTCATGTAGATCGGCATTCAACACAAATCTACCGAGAAATACGTTCAGGTATTTTCAATGGAAGATCCTAAATAGGTATCTTTAAAATGCCCGTCGTATTTTGACATGGATGTTTCTTCAGTCATTTCGTCATGCAATGATTTTGTTTCTTTTTCCATTGGTTCAACAAATTTTATACTTTAAACATGCCAAAAAAATGCATATATGTGTGTATATGGCACACCTTTTAGCACAATGTACATCAATATCGTCACATAGAATGAAATAAAGAAATAATAACAAAACTCTCACCGAAATCGATGCGTCTGAAGTGGCCCGCCAGACTGGCCTCGGTGCGTCTCTCAACAGTGTCTCACACTGTGTACCCGGACCTTCCACCATATCTGCTCTGGGAATGTGACAACTACACAATTAAAAGAAGTCTAACGAAATAAATCATAATTTAATTCAACAAAACTTGCTCTACAGTCACGACGAGACGTGCCCCAAGGACGGGCTGACGACCACTGCTCTACGCGGCCACGCCCGTTGCACTAAATAAGCCGGAGGCCTTAATCTACGCTAAATCAAATTCCGCACTGGCATTAGGTAAATAGTTTACATAACAGTAGAACAAAAACTCTCGTCTTCTTTCGGGAATATTTCCCGCACTAAAGCAAATATGGATGTGAAACTTACATTATCAGGTGGACAATCATTTGAGCTTTCAGATGCCATCAGGGTTGCAAGATTTTGCGTGCTCAAATAGACACAGCAATCTTTGCGCAGAATAAGAAGCAATAATGTACACACAAAGCGAGAATTGCACAAAGCAGTGGGGCAAAAAATTCTGTCTCCTCAAGGATGTTTTCCTGAATAGAAAAAAAAATATGGATACAAAACTGATATCAATGGATAGAGAGACATTCGAACTTTCAGATGTCACCAGGATTGCCAAATTTGGACAATTTTCAGGTCTTTTATGCCCTTAGATGCAGCCATCTTTGCACAAGAACAGGACAAAAAGCTCTCGAGTTGAGACCTTACCCCTGCCGTGTTCAGACCCTCCTAATCTCAAGTAATTTTTTCTTACTTAAAAAAGTTATACATCGTTTACAAATGACACTGCATGTCGGGCCATTCTCCCTAAGATGAAGCGAAATAAGGCACCGAAGCAAAGTAGTCGTTGGTTTATTTCAAAACATTTATTTGAGGCAAAACATTGAAAATTAATCAATCGACACTTTAATAATAGCTATGAAACATGGAGCGTTTTTTGTTTTTCCAAAAAAATGGGAAATTTCTGGATATACATGTACTTGAGGTGCTATTTATACTGGTTATATTTTTGTCCTTATTGAGTTGAAAGCTACACTTTCGAATACTTCCCCAGTGCTTCATCATTAGACAAAGATAGAAAAAAGCACGATTCTAAACTCATTTAAATCTAATTCATATGGATTTCGCTGCATCAAAAACAAAGGGTGCTATTCATATATTTTAATCCGGAATGAAAGGACCAAGGCAAAGAAACAGAAAAAACATAAAGGAAAACCTCAGAACTGTGTATCGACTGCAATGCCTTTCACAAGATCTGGTTATGGGTTTGTGGTGGGGGTAATGATGTCTAATCTTAGAGTTTCTCATTTACATCTAAAGAAGAAATCATTGCCGCAGCTCCTGGTGAAAGGGTGAATGATGTGACGTCAATTTACATCCGTAATTTTATCGCAGGAAAAAAATACTTGTACATGTGTACAAATTTGTACTGCAGATTACACTGCAGTATTTCAATGTTCCTCTAGTTTTTAAGTATCTGACAATAAATGACCAGTAACAATAATTTAGGCAGTGTTCTCAGGAAGAAAAGGTAACACTCACTGCATAAGTTAATGGACAGTTTATTTTTTTTCTGATCAAGTTACAACGTGACATGATTGAAATCTACATCTGTCACCATATTTTAGGAAAAATAAATAAAAACTTTGGAGAGATTATTGTCGTGTTCCACAGGACTTACTTCCAAAAGCACATTACTTAAAACACAATTAATAAATTCATACCCCGTTGGTAAGCAAAAGGGAAGATGTCCATGAGTATCATACAATCGACAGCGAAGAAAGTCAAGGGGTATTTGTTTAAACAGAAGTGTACAGGGCTTAATTGCATAAGTAAGTCCGTTGAACTTTTTGCACCACGTTCAAACTGATACAGGCACATTTTTATATTTTTTTTATATTTCAAATTCTGCATTTCCCCAAAAATTCTACTGCGCCGTCAAAATAATGTAGGTAGAGAAACAGGAGAAAGAGCTTTGGTTAATGCATAACATGTATTCCACTGACAGAACTAATTAATATATTGCAAAGGTGGAGGACCCCTAGAAAGCCCAAAAAGTATGCTGCCAAAATGCCGCATAACTTTGATTCTAAAATAAAGTTCTACAAATTTAAACATTATAGCACTGATACAGAGAGCTTTAAACATTTATAATAAAGCACAAAAATGTAAGTAATACATATTACACGAAATGTAAGTAAAATGAAATTAGTTTAATCAAGATTTAGGCTAATCCTCTAAGCTATGTGCCGGTGTATTTAGCTTATCCGTAATAACTAAAGCTCTTATTTGAGGTGCTGGTTTAAAGTTCGTTAAGTACGTTCTATCCCGGATCTGATAGGGTTACATTTTCTGACTACACACAGATTCTTAAAGGGACCGTGTTATGGAAATATTTTACTAAATTCTACTAAAAAATCCTCAAACTGCACCCTTGGGTTTCAATTAAAATGATTAAAAGTATTATTCTACTATTTTTACCCATGTTTTGAAGCTGTTCTGGTTTTAATGCTAATGCACATTTTTATATCCATGAGCACAACTATGATGTCATCCAAGGCACTGAACCTCAATTTTGCTCTGATTTGTGCACAAAGAATTTCCAGATTTTTTTAAACACTGCTATCGTATATTTAATTTCCTTTGACATTTTATTGTTAAGTATGTGGCAATGAAGCCAACAAGTACCTTTTCTCAGAAATATTTTCAAATAGCAAATTTGGAGTCCGTAACTTCAACATGAAAACGTGCAATTTGAGAAGTGTCTTCCTGGATTTACATCTAGGCAAAAGTGCCCAAACTTGTTTGGAAACGGTTGGTCAATTTTGATATGTTTGAAAAGTGCACTTTTCAGTTCAAGTAATTTCAAAAAAGATGCAATACAGTCTTCATACACTGAAAAAGAGTACAGACATACACAACTGCATGGACCACTTCATCATTAATATTAATGATAAATTTAATTATACTTTATGCAGTCTTCAATGTCATGTAATTACAGTTGATACGAAAGTTACCATCCTCTAAGCAGAAACAGCTTCACTATTATTTCAGCCTCTCCCTTATCAACACCATAGCACTTCAGCAGTGACTGACGTGGATTGTTGGTTGACCCTGTAAACGTCGGTCTCTGTTGCCTGGGGTGGGGGACTCACTAGCACCATGTCTGTTCCAAGGAAGCTGCAGAGACAGCAGACCAATACAGTACTATTTACTGACTTCGGATTCGCTCCCCAAATTAGGGCAATGTACGAGCGACTATGCTCCAAAAGAAATCTGAGATTTATTTCAGGGGGGGAAGGAGGTATGACATGCTGTGTTTTAAACTGCTTCAGACATTAAGAAAATGGACTAACCTCGAAGTTCCTGGAGTTTGGCCACAATTTCTGTTTCAGAAAAAAAAAGGAAGAAAGATAAGACATCTTAAACCATACTTCTCATATTTATGGGACGTTTAATGATCGCTCAGCAGAGGGTTTAGTAGTACCCTTCTCTCTCTCTCTCTCTCTCTGCCAACAGGTAACTCACCTCCTGATGTTGGCCTAGTCAAGGGATCAACACTTCTGCACTGGTCAATCAATGCCTTGAAACCATCGAGACAGTCGTCGGGTAGTGCCAGCTTATCTTTCTTTTCCAGTACAAAGTCCTCGATTTGTTGATCAGTGTACCCTACAAAATTGGTTCCAGGCAAAAAGTCACGGTTTCCTCAAAATGAAAGAAATTATTCTATTACAGAATAATGAATTTTGACCCTGGCAGGATTTAGGGCAAAAAAAAAAAGCATATAAAATGTGCCACTGAGATTCTGTTGAAATTGGTGGTTCTTTGGAGGAATTTTTACGAGCTTCAGGAGGTTATAGGCCCGGGGAACGATTCAAATTGGTGAATACAGAATCACTTTGTCCACCCATTTCACACAATGCACTACAAAAATGGCTTGTCTTGTCCTTGATGACCCCTTGGTGCATGGGCACTGGCGGGGGGGAGGGGAGCGTGGTGTTTGCCCTACATGGGGAGAAAAAAGCTTAAAAAATAAAACAGGAGAAAGGAGAACACAACAGAAATGGAAACCATTCAAAGGTGATGATAACCACTGAAACTCACTAAACCTCAAACTTGACCCCTCTCCCATTGTTAATTGTTTACTAGTTCATCGCTGAGGAATGCCCATGTCTTGGTGTGCTGTGTTTTGAATCCCACTCTCAATGCCTGATGATAATGACGGCAAAACATGCAGAGCGCATTTCTGTTGAGGTCACAAACCTTCATACGGCCTTGATCCTGTTGCAATTTCCCACATCACAATGCCGTAACTATGGAAATAAAGAAAAGGCCAATTTTGAGTAACGAAGACTAGGAATGAATTTATTTCTTCAAGTTATAAGCACTGCAGCATGTTGGACGGTTACACAAAAATTCAAATGCCCCCCCACTTCGCGCTTTATTTCAGCACCCAGCACACGCACACACAGCTTTTGCCATGCTGATTGCCCATCATCATTTTAAGCACATGCAGAAGCATCAACCCAATCAGATAGGTAGACTGATATGTTCATTGTCATTTCCTTCACGCATATAAAAAAAAATGAAATTTGGTTTCCTCGTATTGTAAAAACACATATATATAAAATACAATACAACAATACAATCATACCACACATAAATTCAGAAATATAAACAAATTTACATTCATATGTGTATAAAAAGAACCTGTTAAATTACAGTTTCAATTCTCTTAAAAATGTCAAATTAGGGGAAAGTATTGCTCACATAGGACACCAGATATAGAACTTGTCCAATTCATTTCAATCATCTTTTAAATGTCGAGTTGAAAGCATGTATTGCCATGTATAAAACAGAGATAGCTTTTCCTGAACCTATCTCTGTTTTTACCTTAAGTTGACGTACTCTTCCAGGCTCACGGACCTAAAAAATTAGCATTTAATGGATTAAATGGGTTGCTTCTTACATTCTGAAAATGGAGCAACTGTCTGTTATTCACCAAACTTGAATACACGTGACATCACACCCAATTATTTTTCTAGCCATTTGTCCAATTTTATCAATTTGTTTCTTATTTTTCAGTGAGACTGAACCAAACAATTGAACAAAACATAACCACTGACTCAATTACAGAAACAGGTAGAGAATGTCTCTGTCTACTTCAAACGACTTCAACCTCCAAAGAAAATACATCTGCTGGTTAGCCTTTGCAGAACTTTTGATTATATGCTAATTCCATGCATGTAAGACTGTTATCGATGAGAACACCCAAATTCTTGTAATCTGTTTTACTTTCAACACATTGACAATTCAACATTACTGGATGTATCTCATTTCTTGTTTTACAGAAGTCAAACACCATTTCCTGAGTCTTACTAACATTTAAAAATCAGCCCACTGTCTTCACACCACTGATGAAACTTCATTATTTCCACCCAGTGGCCCTATGAATGCTGATCAGAATGACAAAATTTGCAGAAAACTTCTTGGCTACGAAAATCTCTTCACCCCTTAAAAACTGCTTTTTAATTGAATATTATGCGTAAATCATTGAATTTGACCATTCAAATGAAGAAACTCCACTGTACCCACCTGTAGATGTCAGTGTGTGCCGTTGGCCTCAAGTTGATGTTGGCGAGTCGTTCCGGACTGATGTAGTTCAGCGTTGTCCTGTTGGTGCGCAGTGGCTTGGAGTGCTTCTCAATTGTTGTGCGGGTTTCGGCAAACCCAACATCTGAGAGCTACCACATGAAAGAGATCAAAAGTACCCAGTGAATGCACGGTTTTACAGTTTTCTGAGATCAGCCATCATTGCAGTAAGCACTAGGTTAGCGACTGCGCATGGTAATCCGCCTCAAGCAGAAGTATCCCCTCATTGGTTGTAAAGAGCCGTATGTCACGAGAATTCATTTTGTTGGTAGCGATGAATTCATTTTGTTGGTAGCAATGCGACTACAATGCTTGCGTTTCCTAGTCGTTCGTAAACCAACAATGCCCAGCTAGTACTGTTACCCCCCAACTACAGCAGTAGTTCAACCCAACTACAGCACAGAGGTCCAGTGTGTGCATGTTCCATAGCATGTGCCAAAGTCATTTTGTTTACATCAACAACTTGTGCTTGTAGAAATGAGTTTTCATACACATGTAGATGAAGTGCCATGTTTTAGTTGAATTATGTCAACTGAACTGCATAAACTTAGAGGTTGAGAAATTTTCTAAAGAGATTGGCCATTAATAGTTGGGCAAGCACAACTGCAGCACTATAGTTGGGACTGTCCTAACTATAGTTGGGACAGATTCTATTGTTGGGGCGTGACAGTACCAAAGGAGCCTCCATTGCTAAGGAAAAAGTGCCCTCTGTTGGTCCAGCTCAAGGCCCATCAGCTGGTTTTCGCTGAAAATAACTAACACGTCATCAATGGTCACAAGACAGGTCGCAACACTATACAGCGCCTGTCCCAAATAGAGTTGCTCTTCTCATGTTGATCGAGCATTAACTTTGAGATTTTCTCATAAATTCATCATTTATTATAGCTTTATGGAATGGTTCTGTTGTGTATACATGTACAGTGCTTAATATCTCTGTAAAATGGAGGGATATCAAGCATTTTGCCTGTTAAACAAAGCTATAGGAATCAGCCCTGTTCAAGCTTGAAAAATTCTTTCTGGGCTCTAGGCAAAAGCGACACGTTTGCGATCAGAACATCAAGCCAGCTTGCCAATGGACTTGCAAGGCCCATACCTTTACTCCCCAGCTTGCGTTGACCAGGAACACATCGCTGGCCAGGTCCTGATGCATCAGGGGCCGTGGCTCGCTGTTGTGCATGCGGTAGAGCCCGAGGGCACCGTCCAGGGCCATCTGGATGCGTCTTGCCCAGGGGAGCTCCGTCCAGTCCCTGCCGTGTTCATCCAGAACGTCTCGTAGGTTCCCCTTCTCCATGTACTCAAAGACGAGCAGACAACGGTCTGCAGGCATCAAGGAGCGGCAACAACAAATATCTTAATAGAGGACCCGTATTTCATTATCAACATTTTAAAACTCATTTTTCCCCAAAACCATAAAGGTATGGATCAATCTTCATCAGGCCATCACTGATTCGCCTTCATCAGCAGGTTTCAGTCAAAGCTACAGACAGCTACACTGCAATAACTCCCCACAATCCAATAGATTTTCCACCCCCCTGGAGGCCTCCTTGTCAAGCTCACTTGTAGAGAACTCTGGAGGAATTTCTACAAAATACCGAGTAAGCCAATAATCAGGGCCCAGAGTGGTATATAGAAAGTCGTGCCAACTTCAGGCTCTATAACCAAAACAGCTGTTCATTATGTGCGCAGCAGAGCATGCAGCTATCGTACACTAATTGTCCACGCGACTGACGCATAATCCACCGTTTTGGTTCCAACAGTTGAAGCACTCATGTCACAACACTCTCTATGAACAGCTCTGGCTGGGCCTTACGGGAGTGGCTCCCTCTGTTGCAAGCTACCAGTGAGCCACTTTGGTGTTCCAGAAATGTAAAGACAACAATGCGCAAAAGCACGAACGTGTCAGTGGGTGTAACTAAGCACTCATTAGGTTGACCTCATGCACATGTATTGCTGGTCCCAAATGGCCCCCTAGGTGCTTCAGTTAGACCATTTTGCACACTGCTGGAGTTCTGAACTGGCTCATCGGCAAACAATTACAAACTTTGGGTTTACTCTTGAGCAACTGGCCGTCAAGTCTACTCTTTAAATGTGCCAGTTCAATCCCTGAGGTTTCAGTTTTCAGAAATTTAGACAGGCATGCAACTTGGATTTTGGTGAAAAGATGAGGAAATTCCAACCTTTACAAAGCATTGTACAGTGTTTGCAATTTTGAATGGCGTGAGTGTGAGGTGAAAAACAAGGAAATCAGCTGATCTGAGAAAAAGTCACGGGCCTGTTCAGAGTGTTTCGGATTAACAACAAAATAGTTTGAGCTATGAAGGTTGAAAAAGTAGTCTTGATGAGCTAACAGAATAGCACAAGACTGCCACACCTGTCCTGGTGCACACACCCCAGAGGCGAACAATGTACGAGGAGTTCAGGTACAGGAGATTCTTCGCCTCTCTGAGCAAAACTTTCTTCACACTGTCGTCAATGCTGAAATAACAGAGGTTAGAAAAACATGATTATGTGGGGGGGATTTTTCTCTTGTCATGCACAATCAATTCAAGGAAATAATGCTGGGAGATAAGCATGAAAAATACACAGCGTAGTTCAATACGAACAATAAAAGTTCAGTAAGTTTTTTATGAGTGTAAACTTGTGATGATTTTTGCCAAGTAGATGCATCAACTCAGCCGCCGGTATACAAATAGACTACACAAATCAACCGAAACTTTTGGGACGAAAAGAATTGACATGGTGGCCTACCTGACAGAAAAGGATTTCACGGCCACCGTTTCTTGCTTGTAAGTTGCCTTGTATATTTTTCCAAAGCGGCTTGTGCACATGACGGACATGCTCTCCAATTGTTCGGGGTCAATTTCTCGGAGTTCTGCCTTGATTCTTTGGTCCTCGTCACTGGTGGTCATCAGCTGCCTTGTGGGAAACACTAGGCAAATAACATGATTCTCGATTAAAAAATTTGGAGGGCCTCACATTGTAGTGGAGCATTTCTCAGAGGCAAGCTTGTTGAAATTTTTCAGGTATCACATTTTTTGACTCGTATCATGTAACAGTTTTGAAACTGGGCATTGGCTACGTATGTTGCGTTGTAATTTTATGCAGTCACCTAGTACCAACAGACCTGCACTGCTGTTGCCAGGTCAGTAATGTTTCTGTAAACTTTAATCTACAGCTCCTGTCTGACTATTTATCTTTGAACATCAATAAATATAATCAATAAATTTTTGCAAATCATATTTGGGTTTCTTGTTCCCTTTTATTTGGTTGTCCAAACTGTGGCATCATTGCAGTAATTCAGGCATGGACGTGGCTAGAGGGGAGTTGTTGGGGAGGGTTGTCGCACCCTCGCATTGATCAATTTTGTCGGTAAAATCATGGATGCTGTTGGCAAGAATGGATAAGGAATTGAAAAGAAGGGGACATGTGACAAAGTGTTTTTCAGATACACTATTGTGGAACTCTCCTTCTGATATCGTTTTTTTTTGGTGTTTAATTGTCCTGAATACTTTTTTAAGCACTTTACATATGTATATTTACATGTACTTTTACTAAGCTTTGTCAGACGACTGAGGGCGCTATTGCATTGATGTCATTCTGGGCACACTTTGTTCAGTTCAGAGTTTTTTCTGTTCATATTGAACCTCGAATTTGCTCACTGAAAACATTTGCAAGAAAAGGGTTGTTCACTGGCCTTCCATCAAAAACTTACAGGACAACGAGCCAACGGAAAAAAATGCTGACATCACCATTTTACTCATACATATGGAAATTAGCATCACAAATCACAAAAGAACGTAAACAATCCTAGCATTTAAAAAGGTCATTTGAATTACACTTACACTAAAGTGTACAGTACATGTACATTCAAACAGGCGACTGGGTTGAGTTTATTGAGCTGTTGACAACAGTTTTACCACATTTATTTACATACCAGTTGGTAACGCTGGCCGCTGAGCTATTATTTTGTGGAGCTCTTTCATCACTTCCTCTTGTCCTGTAGTTTTAATAGACAGGCATTATATTATGGCATCAAACAATGATGGCATCAACGACAGGCATCAAACCGAGGGGAAAAAATGACTCTCACTTTGTTTCAACTAATAAGTCAGATGTGGGCACACGTATATGGCCTTTGTACTTCTGATTACCTGCAATATTATACATGTAAATCAATACGGGTGATTCACAATATTGCGCCTCCAAGAGTTTGCAACACGCTGGCCAGTCATAACGCGCGAAATTTGTCAACCATTTCCAAACGCACATTGGGTCGACAAATTTCGCACATTGTGATTGGCCAACACATTGCAAACTCTTGTGAAACGGCCGTATTGTCATTGTTTGCATATTATGATTTCCACTTTAGAGGAAGAGGCAAGTAAATGCATGTTTTGGTGTACATGTATTTATTGCTTAAAATCTTACAACATCATTCATTCAAGTCACCAGCTACCGGTATATAGTGTGACAGCTGGTTCAGTGCCCGTTATTCAACTACTTGGATATTCAATTGTTTATGGAGAATGTATTTAGTTCTTAACTCGAATGTATGGAAGAGAAAACCCATGACACAAACTTGGGAAGGATTGGAATCGTTTTTGCAATATAAATGCATTCTTAAAGCATACTTTTAGCCTGAAGATGTTGCGAGAAAAACTTCAGGCAACCAAATGGAAAGTACACATTCAATCATGCCGACTGTCACAAGACTCCCCAAGAGAATCTAAATGTGGATATCTCATGTCAGGTTTTGAATTCAGTTCCACGTAATTAATTTAAGTTTTTCAGTGCTTAGGGGCATAAACGTGGGATGCACGCAGACCTACAACAGACATGACTGGGATTTATAGCAACATGACACAGAAAATACACCAACAAGATACAAAAATAAATATCACAATTGAAGTAAAGCTTCAGGTACGCGTACAGTAAAACTTAAATAGATAAATTATGGAGAAGAAGCGACAAAGTCCGATGGGTCAGGCAGTAGTGAGCTTTCCGACAGAGAAACCAAAGTAGCTCCAACTCACCTTGAGCGATCCTTGCAACTTGCTCCAATATTTGCTCTTTTCCTGCAAGAAAAAATGGCATGAGGCCATGAAAAGAATGTGTGCAGAGAGGAAATAGTCTAAGCGCATGTAATTTGCTAGGCTGTACAAATCAGGCTTGCCACTTAAATGCATTTGAGCAAGAGACTCGAACATTTCAAGTTTATTATTTTCACACCCTTAATTATTTCTCATGCAAAATATAACCGGAATAATAGCAAGAAACAGGACACAAAACAGGAATTCTCTCAAGTCAGCTACATCCTGTGCTGACCGTATTACAAAAAAATTCTTTTGTCTGTGAGCTTATGCCTGCTAATGCAAAAGGAACTGTGACTGGATTTGTGACAGAACTTCAAGCCAAAAGTCCAACCATGACTCGGATGTAACGACAACCAATGAAATTTAAGACATCTATAAACAAGTTGTTAGACAAACTGTGTACCTTTTTGAAACTCCCCGATCAGGTCACTTTCATCTTTATCTTGATCCGTTTTGTCATTCTTGAATTGATACATAATCTCTCTGTTCTCCACGGCCAGGCTGAAGTGGATGGCCTGGGCCAAACAGTCCAGCTGATCATTGTACTCGTCAAATTGGTTACCGATCCGATCTTTGTACAGCAGCTTGTTGATGAAGGTCCACTTGTCCAGCGACTTGATGAAATCACGGATTTTGATCAAAAGTTGCAGCACCTGACCCAGGGACTTACTGAACAGCTTGAGGCCATCGGGTGTTCGCGCGTTTTCGGGCACCGCTTGTTCGCTGCTCGCCAATTTTTCAATGGCCGGGGTTAAATTTTCGATACGATGTTTAAGGCGTCTGCTGCGATTCTTGAAGTGTTGTACTTCTTCAACAACATCAAATATTTTCTTCGCAATCTGCAGAATGTCTACGGCCAGTTTAACAACCTCCATATTGTAGTAGATGCGAAATGGAAGTGAGACGGCTTCTAAAATGACAAAATTACTCGAATGCATAACAAATACAAAATCATATTTTGCAATTGGGTAAACTGCGTTACTGAATTTTCAAAAATCCACCAATCATTGCCAATTTTTTGCCTTGCACATATCTAAATACGGCATTGATAGTGTTGATAGTTTTCAAAATGCCGTCTTTGAAAAAGGTATTGTTATCTGTTTTGAGAAATGTAATTTTTGCCAGGATTATGCTACGTTAGGCCTAGCTAGTCTAAAACTGCACATGCATGTGCCCGGTAGAGCACATGACTGTCCGCAAATTAATTTTGACAAATCAACCCTCTTGGTTATGTGCACAACCTCCGCGCCACTGACCCACCTCAAGAACTTTATGTGTTTCAACTAGGCCCATTGTTTGTCAGATATGGGGGAACTATGGAACGCAAACCTTCAGCCATGCCCCGTGGTTATGTGATTCTACCTCCATGGGTTATCCAACACGAAAACAGACGATCGAAAGGACCAAACCGTCGGCCATCAATAAAAATTTACACACACACCACTTCCTTAAAACAAAGACCAGGAAGTTAAACTGCTGAACCCACCTATTAGTAGTTAGTCAGTAGTGTAAGTCCTACTGAAACTGAAACTTCCCCTTCCCGTGATGGATCCGTGCTTAGTCTACACTTAGCTACGTGTAAATGCGGTGTGAATTAGATACTTGCTAGTCTACTTCCAGCTAGCTTCCTGCATGTCCCGGGCACGTGGAACTGGTGTTAATCTATTAACGAACGTGCATCTGATGGTTTTCGACAATGTGCATCCACACTGTTAAGCGCGCCAGTGATCCTTTAACATCAAGTGCACTTTCTGTACCGTGAAAAAAGTGGGATTTTTCAGCAGTGCGGCGAATACCGGATGCACAAGGGATTTCCCGAAATAGACTGTCATCATCTAGACAGTTAAACTTGACAAGTCGTTTGATATTCGTGTTTTCCATAACTTTGGTCGAAATTCATCGCTGCACTGTGGCTCTTGTGCAAGACCTCCACTTGTGAATGGCCGACCATCTGCAAGTTGGGGGCGGGACAATCAACGTCCCCGAAGGTAGAAAGAGGGGTACACCCGCCTGGATCGCAGAGATACTAACTTGAAACCAAATCAGTCTCCAACTTGGTACCAAATCTAGACGGTAGTCAGTCACAAAACCCGTATACTCGGTCAGAAGTCAAAATGAAACTTGCGAGTGAAACAAATTCTGAGAAGTTATAAGTATAGGCCTCTTTAGAACAAAGAGAAGTTTATGAAGTGTTGCACATATCAGGGCCATCCGGATACTGGTTTTAATTATTTCAAGATGACGTATATTTATAAGGCCAAATACCTCTTACGGAATTCCAACAACTTATTTCTGTCACGGTACACTTGCCCATCAAGTAAACTAAACTGGGTGAATTTAAATCATGAAACCCGGGCGCACTGTCCCTTAGACTAACGGATGATCATCCTGATGGCTAAGTCTACTTTTTTCAGCTTGTCTGGAACAGAGGCGCAGTCCAGGGTCTTCTCATAGATAAGGGGAAAGAGGGGCAATTATTCCGGGGCAAGGACAGTTGCCCCCTTCTACTCCCCTGGCAGATGGACAGTTCTTTCATGAAACGCGTATCAACAAACTACAGATGCCGTGACGACGCCCCCCCCTAAAAAAAAACCTCCGTGGGATGGAGGCCGGGGCGCAAAAGAGTTTCCCAGGATTAGGCAGATGCCCCCTTGTCCCCCACCCCACCTTCTTGGCTATGCTCTGGAATGGTAACCTGACCCAAGTCCTCTTCTTTATGATCCGGGCAATACCCACACTCCAAACAAGTCAACTTGTTCTCACTTTCGGAGTGATATAATCGAGGCTCGTCCCAAGCCAGTGCTGGGCTCTATTCTCCGAAACCGGACAAAAATCACCCCTTCATTCAGGTGCATACAGGCCCACTCTTTGTCAGCCACAGCTATTTTGCAAGCTGGTATTGAACTCTAAGTAGATTTTACGGACTCGGAACTCGACTCGGAGCGGCTTGGTGGGCAGAAAGATCAGAGTCTGATTTCCGGAAACTCGCTGACTTGGAAATGCAGGGGGAAAAAATTAGAATCACTGGCAAAATATGCCAGTTCGTGACTAAACAACAGAAACAAAAGAACAAAACAAAACAAATGAACATGCATATACCGACAGGGAACTTTAATATAGGGCGAATGACTGATAAACCTATGTTGCAGGCCCTTCAATATCAGTAGGCCTAAATTTGCCTGCACAAACGTCGACAGAATCACAATTTGTAGGCTGGCAAATTCTCTGTTATCAGAGCATTCTGTGGCATGTGGACTGGATGGTTTGTAAAAAAAAAAAGAAAAAAGAGGAAGGAATCCACCAACAGGACTGTCGGGTATTTCTGAAATAGACCAAACGGGACCACCCAAATTGCTATATTTTCAAAATGACGATGAGTCTCATAACTCTTTGACGAGGTGATCATCTGCAAAAGTCACCACTTAAAAAATGATGAAAGTTGAAAGGAAAACGAAAGAAGAGGAAATGAGCTTTAGTTTTGTATGGTGTCTTGAACACTTGAGAAATAAGCATTTTTCCTGTTTGTTTGAAGTGGGGTGTTTTGCCAATTACAGATTATATACCGGTCTGAAAGCAGAATTGTCGCTGGACGGGGCCCTTGGTGTGTATCGGGTCTACCACCACTACCTGGGAAAACCGCCAAGCCTGGGCATCTCCAGCCTGAGATTTCTGGTGGCAGAGAATTGGAAAGTCAAGGTACGTTTGCCATGTAGCGTGTTTCTCCTAAAAGCTGGTACCGGGCTCAGGTTATGACAGGAAGTTACAAGTACAGTTTCAGGAAGATATTTACAATGCCACTCAAAACTGTATTCATTTACACCGCTGTCGTGTTCATGGATAAATTTCTAACCAGTGTCAAAACGCGGAGACTCGGTTTTTGGCGCCGTTTGGCTCGTGTGTGGTGAAGATTAATTGACCCTCACCCAAAAGGTGACGAAAAGAGGACAATGGCAATTTAAAAACAACAACAACTTCATAATTTAGTCCCCTCCCATAACTATATCTAAGACCTGCCTGAGGTTGTCCGTGCCCTAAAATGATTTAGTGACGAAAAACTTTAGTGATGGTGCACCTGAAAGTCGTCAGCATTGAATCCCGTTGATTTGTAGCAGACCTTGACCAACACAGAAATCTACGTCGCTCTGAAATGGAATTGATCAAATAACTTGCTTTCATCTTGTCATACTGTTTATTCCCACAAATCCTTCAGATATCTATCGCGGGATTTCCCGAGTTTTTACACGTTTGTAAGTAAACGGGTAAAAACATTAGAATTTTCTACTGCAAATTCATAAAACTGTCTGCATATTTTATATGGGCTATAGTTCTGGTTAAGTTCTGTCCTACGCAAAGATACCTTGAGCTTGACGACCCATACGGTGGAAGAATGCTAGGCCTACCTATAACCCACGAACCTCCGTGCTCTACGAACATTGTTAACGTGAACGTCTTCCCTGTCTTGTTTACTCGCACTAATTTCTACGAGGGTACACCGATGAGGACATTGTCAATCTTGTCCTGCGTAAACAGGGCAAGCTCCCGCTGACAGTGTTCCGAGATTGCCCGGCTGGTTTCATGGAGGTGATCGACAAGTGCCGGGGGTTCAACCCTGCCTCATCAAGACCGACAGCCAGCGGTTAGTCGATCATTTCAGATGTATCACACGGCAATGTAATAACAGAGCCAACGACAATTCGCTTTATCAAACAGTGGTCACATTCCAGGCAGTCGCGTCCTTAAAACTTTCCTCTGACTTTTTTGGCGCTAAATTGGAGTCAAATTTGTTTCCTTTGCAGAGGTCGTGGACAAGCTCCAAAAGTTGAGAGGTAAGTCCACTTTAAAATACCTTAACAGAAAACCGAAAGATTTTCAGGTCGTTAGGGTCGGACTCAACCTAGTGGTTTTTTTTCTTTTCTCACAGCGTCCATGCCGGATGAGAAATAGCTTGGATCAACAGAGTTGAGCCTGAGGTGACCAACACGACTGGATATTCACCAGAGCTGACATCATCCATTCTATTACCCAATCTTGCATTCTGGCTTTTCGAATTGCTTTTAATTTTTACTTAATGTACTATACGCTTGTCCGGGTTTAGGGCAGACCAGCAAGACGCACTTCATAAAAGCATCTGAGAGCATAAGTTTCGACAAAATATCCCTCTGAACTAGCATGTAAAGTTGTAAATAGCTGGCTAAAGCATCTTTCACTGTCATCATTTTTTGCCATTTCTGCTTCAAATTTGCAATTGTACTCTTGCAGCTTTGTACGGTATTTTCACTGAAGTGCTGTTGTGGTTTGACGTGGTGTGCCGTGGGGCACGTGATTGCAAGACTCGTTTGTATTGTTGAGTACCATCGTTGATGTATTAAAATGGATTACTGCTGGTATTGGTGGGCCAAAGTCGAGCAACATTAAACAAATGTGCGAAATTAAGTAGGAAAATGTACAAAGATTTAAACAAAAAGAATAGATTTAAAAAGGAAATCTCTTCCCACAACATCCACTCAAAAATAAGGAATGGGAAAGTAGTTACGTATTTATTTATAAACCTCAGCTTATTGTACACGGGTGACTTCTCCATTCTGTCCATAGAGGTATCTGCCCAAACCCTCCCAAACCATTCAGAATCCATTGAAAAGATCTGAGAATTTGGAAGACTGAGATGTGCAACATAATCCGTATTACTTAAAGGGGCTTTGATGTTTCTTTATGAGTACGGGGTGCAATGAAAGCACCTCTTGTTATGGTCCACCACCTTGGTAACAATGTCTTTGGAACTTGACAAATTCCCTTGTTACAACAGTGGCGTAGAAGATTCTGTAGGATTTGTGTCAGTTTCAAGACAAGCGACAAGTGGTTTAGCATTTAACCACTGTTAGATATCGCTGAGCGACACTACTTGAACTCAAAAGAAGGATACCTGATGCAGAGTGCCAACACCAAACATTGATTGACAACAAACTCATAAGTGGTTTACGAATCAATGTTAAAAGTGCCGCTTTAAAATGCAAGAGATAATGGCCGAATTCCTACACATCAATTGGGCAAATTTAATTATAATTAAAGTCTTCTGCTAGACCATGCATATTTGTTGCGCTTACTTTTATTTAATTAATTGTCTGAAAGTCTGTCTGAAAGTTCTTTTCTTATAAATCTGTATGCAGGACAATTATTTTTCACTAGACAGTGGGCAGTTGACTTGATACTGGATCAACATCAAATTCAACCCGGGGAAATTTTCAAGCTCAAAACAGATGACATAAGAGTTTTTGCGCAGACTGATGTATAAAATTTTGACTAAATAAAAGTTAAACTACATGAGGAAGAAAACTTACAATTATTCAACAATTGTTAACAGTTAAATCAAGTACACTGTAACAGAATTCAATTTCTCAGCCATGTGTAAAGTAAAACATGGATATGCTGTGGTACACATACAGCGACCCTCTATACCCCTTGATCTGCCCCGGAGTAGTCTTCATCTGACATAGGTCATCCACCTCTAATTCACAGTGGTCATCGTCCACCTCGGTTGAAACCTTCGGTTGATGAAAACAAAATGAGAAAAGGGCAATTTGTTTAAACAAAAAAAAATACAAGTTCTGCAATCCTACATTTTGGTGACCTAACAAGAAATATTTTGCCATCCCTTTGTCAATCTGAATATCTGGTGCATCTGAAATGGTGCTTCAGATAATAAAGCGGTAGTTGAGCTCTTACAGAAAAAACCAAAGCGTAGAAAATCTTCCAAGCAGAATGGTATCCCATTTTCCCGCATCTATTGTATTCTTTAGTTTGTAATATATTCCAAAAAGCAACAGGAAAATTGCAAGCTTAAAATTGGCAGTTTATGTCGAGGACCATAGAAAGTTAATAGGAAATCTTAAAACTGTTAAACACGCTTACCCCTAGAAAAACTGCCTCTTCCCCGCCCTCCTCGGAATCCTCTGTCACCTCCTCCGCCCCACCCACGGAATCCACCACCACCTCCTCGACCCCCTGGAGGAAATATCAATCAAAAGGACCCCGTCTAACTAAAAGACACAACTTATATTATATGCAACAAGGTCAAACACACTACCCCATTAATTTCTTTACCACATACTGACCAATTAGGCCATAGCTGCTGATCACAAATGACATTCATTACATAGCAAGATGGGTGTTGCCAGGGTTTTTCCGGGGAATTCTTCTTTGGTGGGGGAGAGTTTTGTTTCCTGCCATGCAGGAATAGTTTTCAGAAACTTTTTCAGTTGCAAGTCTCAAACGACCAAAAATTTCATTTCAGAAATACCCACAGTATTTGTTCCCAATTTCAATTTCTACAAACTTTTCAGTCACCAAAGGACACAGGCAAATGAACCGTTGCTCATCTCTTTCCATACGTTCTGACATACACCTACCTCTGCCCCTCGCTCCGCCCCCTCTTCCCTGCCCCCGTCCCCGAGGACCGCCCCTTTTCTGGACTGAGCCGGGGGGCTTTGGAAGGAAGCGCTGCAATGGCAGGAGCTTCATGGGATCAATGTAAAGCTAAAGGAAAAATTTTGAAAAATAAAACGATGAAATTGGAGAACTGACCAAAACATAGAAGAAAATCCTCATTCCTAATTCTTATTTCAAAATTCTGTCGAGACAAAGATGGTACTTAAGTTTATGGATTAAAATAGACTTGATCACAGCAACAATAAGACTTTACCTTCTGTTCTTTGCTGAATGAAGACACTTTCATGTTCTCTGACATCTTGACTGAAAAGTACTGTAGTGTAAAGTCAAGGCAGCAATATTTTTGTACTGTGGAATGGACAAGCCAACAATGGGACAACTTTCCAAAAAAGTCTCTTTCACATTGGAACATGCTACACACTTTTGCATCTTGCTACAAGGTTAAGACTTCTGAATATCATGCTTTGAGAAAAATGTCTAGTGCACTTTTTTCTGTAAATAAATGATCCTGTTGGCTCTCTGAGGGTCAAGGGGTAAGACAAAACAAGGATACATAGTCGGTGAGATGTCCGAAGATCTCGTCCACCTTCCCGATCTGCTCCTTGTTGCCGAGGAAGATGGGCGCATTGAAGTAAGGGATCTTTTCATGGGTTCCCTTCACTACCATGTCGTCCTGGCAAGGATGCAAGTAAGAGCCTACCTCTAGACGGGTTCGAAAAAAGAGGAAGCTGAGTGATTGGATTAAGTCAGCGATCCTTTCTACCTGAATCTCTCTGGCTTCACAACCACTAAAATGTCCAATTGAGGAAATTAGTTTACAGCAGGCTAGGTTACTGATGATGCACAATACATTTCTACCTTCTCCTTCAGAATGTTTGATCAGCCCAGACTAACAGATTCCTATCTTCAACCAAAAATGATACTGTAGGTTCTGCTGCTCCAGAAGCAGATTAAGTCAGGTAGTAGAGGTCCAAGAAACTATGGAGCTTGATGCTGTTTTGGCCCAAACTTTGTTCACTGACGCAACTCTGTCCAGTGCCTACAGATACTTGGAACAAGCCCAACTATGGCTTGACTGACAAAGTAGGGAATGCCTAAAGTGGGTTATCTTGCGCAACTTGGGGAAAAAGATGCCATGAAATAAAATTGCCAGAACTAAGCTGTTGAAAGATATGAACAAGGGAAACGAGCGGAACATACTAATAGATGAAACAGTTTAACACTAACCCTTCTAAATGCACCAGAATGCACCAGCGGTAAAAATTGTTGCAAGTTGGTGCATTTAGCAGACAACACAAGTCTTCTGGTGGTATGCATTCTGGTGCATTTAGCAGGCTTGGTGTTTACGCCCTAGCAACTAGTGCACCAGAATGCACTGGTGCAATCCGGTGCATTTAGCAGGGTAGCTAGTGGTACCAAGAGCGACCTAAATTAGTTCACTGCACAATGCACCAATATGCACCAGTGCATACTGGTGCATTTAGCAGGGTACCCATGTGAGGTTTGGTGCATTTAGCAGGTTCCTTGGCAAATACCCCTTGGGGTTAGGGTTAATCAACTCAACTATGTAAAGAAATACATTTACAGCTGGTGAAAGGCCAAGTTAGGCTGACCCATGAGGGCACAAGGCAAAGTTGACATGGTTGAGACAATGAACAAAGTCTGGGACATAATGAAGGTTAAGAAAGACACACACACAGACTGAAAATGCCCAGAATGACTACTCACCTACTACTTCCTCTGGTGGTCCAAAGCTTTGCCCAAATCCCCCTCGTCCACCTCCCCTGCCACCACGCCCTCCTCGGAACCCCCCACCCCCTCTGCCACCACCCCTTCCCCCTCTGTTGCTACCCCTGCCACCCCCTCCCCCACGATAGCCACCTCCCCCTCTCCAGTTCCCCCCGCCCCCTTGGTAGCTCATTTCACCACAGTCTGAACTTTTTGTTCTGCAGAAAAAGGTATGACAATATTCAGTGCAGTTCAACTAGAGAGTGAAAGTGACAAGTATTTCCGGAAGAAATTAAACTTACAATATACAGAAATGAGGTCTTAAAGTTCATGCATGGAACATATCAAAATACGGAGAAAATAAAGCACAACCCTGTCATTTGTGTCAAACATCCAAGCTGTTTTTTTACTGTAGCGCTGTTCAAAACTGGACAGTGTCAGTCTCAGACAAAAGGACTGACAGGCAGTGCTCTTTATAATGATGATCCTAAAAAAGTTGAAGTTTGCATGATATTATACTTACCAATAAGGGTGCTAGTGGGAAAAAAATTCCATAGTTACAGCATCGTACAACCACACACAGGCCCCTAACCATTGCCAATCTACACTGTTTACAATCTACAATGTTTTAGATTCCACCTTGCCTGCGAACACTGCTTTCAAAGCACTGGGAGCCAGGTTCAATGCATAAACTTAGAGATATCTCTGTCTCGTGGTAAATGTCAATTCTGCACGCCATATAGGGACCAGCACTAGGCCTAATGAGGGAAAATATTATATCCCCCCATGGCCGCTACTTCATGCCTGTAGCCGTAGCCTCCATATAGTACCACCAATCATGTGCAAACATACCAAATATTTTAACATCATGCAATGCAATCGTTTGAGTTTAACCTTAAGAGTCATTCCATGAGGTTGGGGCACAATTTGTGACAGTGTCCTTGTTACACAACGTTACATGGGTAACCATGGTAACTTTTAACATCTGTCATGACCTGTAGAGTAGGTCATTTGCTCTGTAAAAATAACTTACACCTAACAATGTCAAGTAAAGGCTTTGTATTCAGCCTTGCTCTTGCAAGATGTATAATAATGTCAATTTGGAATCCACATGCAGGGAAATAGCTGTTCATTTTTACGGAACAGGGCTTAACAACTGACACCGTCACAAATTGTGCCCAACCTCATCTAGTGACCCTTTATTAAGTTATACGTAAACATGTTATACCCCAACTATAGCATCAGTCCCAACTATAATTGAGCCTGTCCCAACTATGGTTGGGCCCGTCCCAACTATAGTGCTACAGTTGGGCCGGCCCAACTACAGCAGAGGGGTCCAGTATGCATGATGTGACCAGCATGTGCCAAAGTCGTATTGTTTACAAATGTCATGTCATTGGTCATAGGGCTAGATGCACAGATGAAGTGCCACATTTTGAATGAATTGTGTCACGTGTGAGACACGTTGACTTGGATAATGTTTAGACATTTTCCACAGGCATTGATCAACAATAGTTGGGCCAGCCCAACTGCAGCACTACAGTTGGGACTGTCCCAACTATAGTTGGGGCTTATGCTAAAGTTGGGGCACAACAAACACACTAGGACAACTACTACTAGAAGAACTAGCACTAGCACTCTATAGCTCTGGCAGTATATATAGTACTGACAATAAGGTCATAGGTCTACTTGTCTACCCGGCCCCTAGATGTCAGATGTGGGCCCAGGTTCGTCATCTGCCGCACTTCTGCAAACCCCAGTCAGGGCCCAGGGGTCAGCGTGTAGATCTAGGCATAGTCTTAGAAGTTAGAGCAAGTCATCTGGTCATGTGCCATTGTAAATGAGTCTTCATTAACCCTCCTATGCTGAAGTCACTCTTTGGGTCACTTGGTAAACACCTCAAAGAGGCACAGCCATGACAGCTGAGTTGTGTTGTGCACTGCATCAACAGTCCCTCACAGGAATATCAGATTGCACTTTTGTGCTGTGCAGGAACTGTGCTTCACTGTTTCATGTGCATAATTGTGCAGTAAACCAAATGCAGAGAAGAGGACTGCACAAAAGACCCTGTGTCAGTTTGTGCTGGCATCTAACCGTGTACACACTGAACCTGTGCATGTTTGTCATGATGTAGAAAATACATGCACAAAAGTAACTGTGGGTACTCGTGCACAGGCCTATTTTTGCTGTAAAACCAAAGGAGGGTTAATGCTCAGTGATAGTGGAATTGATAAGAATGCCTTCTGTCACAGTTCGTCAAAACAGCGTGGAAAAACAAGCGACCTACCTGAATGAAAAATATACAGACAAACATTCACAATACCTCTGCTCCTCTACACTAAGTAATAATTCGAATATATCTCAATAATTCTGCGCGACAAATCCACGTGCCGAATAATAACGCGAAGCGTCGTTCATGCCCGTTGTGTACGGAAAACACGTTAGTCTTGATCTAGTGCCATGAATGGGATTTGCAAGGGGATTCAGAAAGGCATGAATGGTAACCAGACTACTTATTTAGACTGGCTCCTTGTTCGTCGAAATGTCGATGAGACTTGTGAAGTTGTCGGTGCTAGCACTAGTGACGCGTCAC